TACTGTCATAAGTGGTGAGGCCCATTTGGTTTCCCGGGACGCAGTATCTCAGGGTAGGACTTGGACAATGGGGGGGGGGACACAAGGCAATCGTAATTTGTCGCATCACCGCTCACGGCGTATTGCGCTGCCATGTGGGCAAATCCTCGATGTAAGGCCCCAGCACATGTAATATAGCATTTTCCGATCCCTTAGACTTTCGCATCGGAATGGCCAGTCAGGACAAGTCGTCTGTCAAGCGCAGCATCACTCGCAACGCCCAGCGGCGTGGCATATTACGATTGTCTTGCTACATAGCCATTGTAGTAGACATGGATTTCTGAAATAACAGGATTTTGGAGAATCAGCCTTTTCCAGCTGTCGATTCACACAAATAACGACGAATTCTTCTATGTTGGTGGACATCCGCCATCTGAGGGTAGAACAAGTCTACGATCCCGCGGAACCACGAGCAGACAGGTATTCTGGAAATCTGTAATACTTTGCCTTTGTCCGGTGCTTCTTCCTTAATTGTATGCCTTGCAAAACGCGGTTTTCTCAGAAGGCGGAAACTGCGAACTGTTTGAAATCGGTCACTTTACCTGCTGAACTCCCAGCCCTTAAGAAAACCACACATCAGTGCTCGGTGTTGAGGATGCGATTCCCATCCTACGCTTACGCAGCTAAAACAGGCACCTCTGGGAACCTATTAGCGTTCACTTTTTTTTTACTCCCCTTGCATTATTTCGTCTAATTTACCAGTTGCAGAAAGTGGTATTATAGAAACGCCAAGCTTGTTGCGTCACTTTTCGTGATTCTGGTAACTAAAAGAACCCCTGAGATTCAGTAATCAGTTTTTGTAATCTACTGTGGGTGGTGATTTAGATCCTGTAAGTAATGGTTCTGGTGACAGGGTACCACTGGGCACGCTTGTGGCGGCGTAAACGCTTTTGGCGATGATTCTTATTTCTGTTGGGCTCCCCATCGAGATCTATCTTCAGAGGAGCTGCGGTCAGCTGCTGTTAAAGATAAGATGAATCGAGGACAGTGCATGTAGAAGAACAATTGACTCACAGATAAGCCCGTTCCCCCCCCCCCCTCCCCATCTCTTTCAGAGGAGATATATTATATACGTGAGCCAAGTTGTCATAAGAAAACGGGATAGCGGGCATAAGTCTTGACTTTGAGAGATTCAGACTTGCCCATCACACTCTCCTGGAGTATCTACTCCCACCGTTACGCCAGCAGGTTGGCCTGCTTGACGTCTGCTCAGCCTCACTGGTTTTTTGAGTTGTACCCTTAGCAGCACCACAATAGGCGCAGCAGTCCACAGCAAAACAAATCCGAAAATGTAGTGAAAGGTATGCATGAAAAAATTCGGTTACCAGAGTTGGTTTTCCCAGAGTATGCTGCGGTCGTCGGAATTTCTTTGTGGTACTCACGATGATGAGCTGACGGAAGAAGCATTTCAAGCTGCTCTCAGTCCACAGGTAATGCTATATCATATCTTAGCGGATACGTGTGTGCTGTGTGTTACTCTTGCAGTAAGCTATTCATTTCAAGTCGGTCAAGTCGAGTTTACGCGACGGTGGAGACCTTGATCCTGGAGATGATGACATTTTTGAAAATGCTTCTCAAGTATGGGTAGTCTCTTGAGTCATATCTTTATTGGTTGAGTTTCGACTTTTACCTAGCCTTGTTCAGCCTGAACAGTGGCCTCGCTTGCAGGAAATTCCGCGGCACTATTTGGTTCCAATTATGGAGAGATTGTCTGGATCTAGCAATGTTGGTGCCAAAACTTTACTTTTCATGACATTTATAAGGAATTTGTGCAAAATTGGCGTAGATTATTCTTATTTTCTGTCTTATCTGCTCACTTGAAGAGATGTTTAACTTTAAGACTGGCTCCCATTACGTAACAGCTCCGGATCAGGTTAGGTGTCGAGAGGGCGACGGTGAAGTACTGGAGGCGACGACGACATCGGGTCGGAGTGAGCGTCTTTCTAGCGAGGTGAGTTGCTGCCACTTTTTTTTTACCTTCATTTGTTGTTTAGTGTTGTCAGCTCAACCTGACGCAGAAACTGTGTCTCCTTTGTTTAGGTTTGTTATATATCTTTATAGGAAACACTATTATAAGATAATAATAATAACATAATATAATAATAATAATAATAATAATAATAATAATAATAATAATAATAATAATAATAATTATTATTATTATTATTATTATTATTATTATTATTATTATTATTATTATTATTATTATTTTTACTATTTATTATCTGTCCAGTTTGAAACAGCTCACATCTAATACGTGAGAGGAAATCCTTAGCTTCTATCCCGTATGCTCATTTTTCCCTCCTCAGGTTATCTAATCACCGCGAATCGTCCCTCCTTCTTTCTTCCCAGTCTTCCCTTCCTTGATTTCCTCTTCCCTCTTCCTCACTTCCCCCTTCAAATGCTCGGACAGTGGGTGCATGAGCAAACAAGTCTGGAGCTTCGCAGCAAGGGAGTGTCCGGTTGACAAAAGCCCTGTAAGGCACTTTTCCCCACCTTATTCAGCTTGTCGATCAGGATATCTGGTCTCTCAAGTTGCTGGCGAACATTCTTTCTCTCAAATTTTGAATTTATACTTAGTGGCAGTGAGTAGGAGTGCCGGAGGCGTGCGATTGTCGCCAACGTCACTGGTTGGAAAAGGTGAGTGGGGTGTGGCCTAACGCCCTCTTACAACCCTTCCACCAAAGACGCTGGCTACAACCGATCGCCTCCAGCAGTCGTAACCACTGCCTGTGAGGGTTTCAAGTATCCTATAGAGTACACCACCAATCGTTTGTGCTACAGTATGCTTACCGACTCGTTAAATTCGAAGAAACTTTCAGGATCAAAACACACGTACTGAAAGTAGCGGAACGACAGCATACGTCTCAACAGAGTCTCCTCAGGGATCAGGAGATACTAGAAGAGCATCCAGCTATGTAAGTGTCATTGTTTTCCTCATTATTTTCAGTTAGAAAGCAGGCTTTCCATCATTCCATATGCGCTGCTGTTAGCACTGCTAACGAAAGTGTTCCTGGCTGTATTCAGAGGCCATTAAGAGCTTACCAACTGCAGTCATGCTCTAGCGGGTTTTCTGCCGGGGGTCTCTCCTCTTGAGCGTAGCGTCTAGCGCGTTTTTTTTTGCTGGAGGCCTCTCCTCTTAGGCGTAGTGGCATCCAACCTGCACTTATTCTTCCAATCAAAGAATCGCTCCTACAGTTGTTTAGTTCAAACCAGTCTTAGTGCTCATCACCATGACGCTCCTGACAACATTAGGAAACAACTGATAGACTGAACATCTCATTCAGATGGGGAATCCAGAGAAAATGGGAATATGGTTAATTAGAAGCAAAGAAAAACAAACATTCCAAAAGGAATACACTCCAAAGCACAGATGATCCGTTTCGCCCGGTATCGCAGACGAATCATCATTGTCTAGCCAACCCCGAGCTCGTCAGTGCGACAGGTTGACGACATGAGGACATGGACTACATAGCTGGAGGAGTTGAGAAATAGA